CACATGTGCAATGCATAGACAAGGTCCCATACCCTTGTTCATACTAGTACACCTATCAAGTCATCCTAGTTAATATATACATAACATACTTTATGTACATATACTTTACAAGCATTGTAGTAGACATTAGTGCGTATGTGAATATCCTTTTATTAGACACCATAAACTTATACTACTTGTCAACCTGCGTAAGGTGTGAGTACATGTGTGTACGTTGGTCAATATGATCACATAATACCCATCAACATCAACTTGAGGCATCCACCCAATTAAGACCATAATGCACATTCAATCATAGACCACACATCACATAATAGCAGATGAAACAAGGCAATTTCAACATTTGTGTTTGAGACTCATAACTTATTCATATGGGGTACATGGATAGGGGTCATTAACCATTATTACTTCATCAATGGCATCACCTAACCCTAACCCTAACAACATCATTCAATTGGGGTAGACATCATCACCATCTAGATCATGGTACTAGAATAGAAGACTCATATTATAGTTCACAATCTTGCCTTCAAGGCCATGATCAACAAATATACATATTAACAAGAAAGTAAACACCGCCACCATAAGTGGACCATACCACACAATGCCCTTCAAGGCCAATTCAACTAGCAATTTATAGAGAAGTAGAGGAAGTAGGACAAATTCACCAATTCTCCAAGCTTTGATCACCATTGATCAATACTCATAATTCAACCTCAACACATGTATAATACAGTAGATAAAGGTATCATAACATAGTGAAATAATAATTTAATTATGATAGGATCAAGATCACTCTAAGTACACTACATCATTACTTCTATAGAAAGTAGGGGAATATAGGTCAAGCTTACCGAATCCCTAAACCTTGATCATCATTGATCACTCATAAACAATTCACCGTCAATTTGAGTACAAAACAGTAGCTAGGGATACAATTACATAAACAAAAACACAATCCATAATCAACTCAACAAGATCATGTTACACACATCATAGACTAAATTGAGATTTTTGGAGGAACATGGGTTCATTATGAAATTGGATTAAAAGAATCATTAACAGTAGCTAATCCAATATTCATCATAAAAATGCTTTAGAAAACGTTTTGAGAAGGAACCTATGGCTAGATTGAAGAACATATAATTTGATCATGAATTCTCCTTAAAAACATTGGAAGGATCTCTTTAGATAAAAGGTTATCTAAAGATGAAGGATCACCATAACTCACAATAGGAGAAAACCATGAAATCTTGATGAAGAGACCATCACAATCCAATCAACAAGTTGTTCTTGAGCTTCATCTCAATGGATGTTTCTAGAGAGGTTTTGTTTTGAGAGAAGTCTAATTTTGAGTAATGAATTGGGTATGGGGATTGAATCTTAATAAACAACTTAATGTACCCAAAAGTACAAAAAAATTAACCACCAAAGGTCAGGTTAGGACGTGGGGTTAATCTCCTATTCACCCCTTCATGAAACAGTGTGCAGGCAACTAAATGTAGGCTGCATCAACGCCCATAAATGACACCTCGTAGACCCATCGACGGACCGTGCTGGCAACCTTCGTTTAGGTCTGAGGCTCAACATTGGGGCTTTATCTCATAGGATATGTATGGGACTCAACCAACTCCAACTGAAGAATATGAAGTGGAGCAAGTTACACCTGAGCAGGTGTTAAGGAGATCATCAGAACCATTAGGGCACCAGATAGGTATTCACCTTCATTACACTATCTATTGCTGACTGATGAGGGGGAACCAGAGTCTTTTAATGAGTCCCTACAGGTGGAGGATTCGATCAAGTGGGAGCAAGCCATTGATGATGAGATGAGGTCACTAGAGAAGAACGACACATGGGTGTTTATTGAGTTACCTGCAGGGAAGAGAGTTTTGCTGAACAAGTGGGTATTCAGAATCAAGACTGAACCACATGGCAAAAGAAGGTTCAAGACTCGTTTAGTGGTTACAAGATATTCACAAAGGAAAGGTATTGATTATGTTGAAATATTTTCTTCTATTGTGATGTTAACCTCTATTCGAATTCTGGTGAGTATTGTTGCATCGGAGAATTTGCATCTAGATCGAATGGATGTAAAAACAGCATTTTTACATGGATATCTAGACAAAGAGATCTATATGCAGCAATCGGAAGGATTTGTGGTTCTAGGAGAGGAGCACAGGGCTTGCAAGCTCACCAGGAGCTTGTATGGACTAAAACAAGCACCAAGGCAGTGGTACAAGAAGTTTGACTCCTTCATGACCAAGAGTGGATTCTGTAAAGCTGAAAAGGATCCTTGTTGTTACTTCAAGAAATACACTGATTCATACATCTTTCTACTCTTGTATGTGGATGATATGTTGATTGCAGGATCTAGTATGAGGGAGATTAACAATCTGAAGACAAGGTTGTCTGCAACATTTGAGATGAAAGCTTTGGGTCCAGCGAAGCAGATTTTGGGATGAAGATTTCTCGGGATAGATCTGCTGGCACTTTAAATCTATCTGAGGAGTTGTACATTGAGAAGGTGTTGAGCAGATTCAGGGTTAATGATGCTACCAAGGACTACTCCATTGGCAAATCACTTTAACTTGTCAAAGGAGCAGTCATCCAACACAGCCGAGGAGCGTGAGCATATGGCACTTGTTCCATATGCTTCAGCAGTTGGGAGTTTGATGTATGCTATGGTCTGCATTATACCTGATATAGCACATGCAGTGGGAGTTGTTAGCAGGTACATGGTAAACTCGGGGAAAGAGCATTGGGAAGCTGTGAAGTGGCTTCTGAGATATCTGAGAGGCACATCCAGCACTTCACTTTGTTTTGGCAAAGGCAAGGTTACTCTACAAGGTTTTGTAGATGCTGATCTTGGTGGGGATGTAGACTCGAGCAAGAAAACATCTGGGTATATATACGCCATAGGTGGAATAGTAGTGAGTTTGATGCCAGGCTTCAGAAGTGTGTTTCTCTTTCATCTACTGAAGCTGAGTATGTGGCAATAGTTGAAGCTTGGAAAGAGATGATATGGCTGGCAGATTATCTGGAGGAATTGGGAAAGAAGCAGAGCGAGAAGATTCTTCACTCAGATAGCCAGAGTGCCATACAGTTGGTGAAAAATCCAGTCTATCATTCAAAGATAAAGCACATAAAAGGCGGTACCATTTCACTCTCAGGGTAGTGGAGGATGGTGATATGTGCTTGGAGAAGATAGAGGGTGAAATGCACCCGACAAACATGTTGACGAATGTGTTGATGTTGGGAAGCTGGGTTATGCAAAACCTCGGTTGGTCTTCTGTAGTTGTTACTACAACTGTCGCGGTGCGGTAAAGATGTTGATGATGAAGAGATTTCTTTTTGAGAATGAACTTTTGGATGACTGAATCAGTCTCCAAGTGGGAGAATTGTTAGGTTGTGGATCCTGATAAATATTTGATGTACTGTCATATATTAATGTTTACGTGGTTCAATAATCCAAATTTTAGGCTGTACTATTTATTCTCCATTTATTCTCTGTAACCAAAAATACTCTGAATTATTAATATATATATATATATATATATATACACCCACCGCTGTGGAAGTTTACTTACGGGGTGTTACCACGAAATATTGGTTTCTCTCTTTCTCTCTCTCTATATCTCTCATCTCTTTCTCTTGAAAGTTCTTGTGTTCTTCATTCATCAAGTGTATGTGTATGGATTCGATCCTAACAACAGATGCATGTTAAGAAGAAGAAATCCAATAACCTATATAGTAAGCCAAAGTAGTTGAGCACTAGCAAGAAGACAAAAAACAAATTTTCAAACTACACTATACCCACCTACATCATCATCAATAGTTCTGATGTTTATGGAAGTCACTGCAAGATCGTTAAGAAAGCTTCCGATTAAAATTTGCTTGGACAATTGAAGTTCATACAACCTTATCAAGTTAAGGAGCAGTGAATATCCATCGTCACCATCATGCAACAACAAAAATTGGACATTTAACCAACATGTATCATAAACACATAGTCACCTTCAATTTATTAAGGGCACATGCACCAACTTCATTTATTACAGATTTAAGAATAATAATGAGCTCATATCCAATCCCCTTCAATTTTTTAAGGGCAAAGAACAGTAACTCCTTATGACTCTCAGTAGCACAGAATTTCAGAGCATTTTCACAATATCTCCGAGCTTCCATTTCACCATGCTTAAAATGCCTTTTTCATGAAAAGAACAACAGATTTAAAAATTCGCAAAAGCAAAATAAAACAAATTTTAGTTACAAGTTCAAAAAAATAATTACTTCATATTGGAAACCCCCTATATAGTTCATGATTGTAATAAGTTTAATTGTTCTAGAAATAACGCAACCTAGACCAAAAAAGACTTAATTAATCAAAAGAGAACCTAGAAGGCACTAACATGAGAGAAGTGGATATAGAAGTTTGGAATAATGGTTACCATACATACAGGTTGACTTGCACGAAGACCTGTGGAGATTTAGTAGTCATTAACGACTCAAGAAGTTCAAACAAGGCACTGAGCATGGAGATAAAAGAAGATATTGATTGTTCTAGGACTGATCCAGAGTTTATGATAGTGTAGCTAGCAAACATGCAGATGCAATTTAAGAAGCAGAAATCCAATAAGCTTGAATAGTTAGGCAAAACAATGTCGAGTCAGCAAGACTATAAAGCAGAATTTCTCAAACTACACTATACCTAACTCGTCATTAAAACTTCTACTTTTTTTGAAAGTCCCTATAAGATCTTTATGTAAGCTTTCAATGGAAATTTATCTTGACAATTGAAGTTAATAAATCTTTTTAAGTTATCAAGTATTGAATATTCATCATCACAATCCTACAACAACAAAAATTCTTTCTATTACATGTAAAAGAAAATGTAACAAAGTCAGCAAGACTACAAAACAGAATTTCTCAAACTACAGTACACCTAACTCGTCATCAAAACTTCTGAAGTTTTTGAAAGTCTCTGTAACATCTTTATGTAAGCTTTCGATGGAAATTTATCTTCACAATTGAAGTTAATACAATATTTAAAATTAACAAGTAGTGAATATTCATCATCACAATCCTTACAACAACAAACTTCTTTCAATTACATGCAACAAAACATGTAACAAAAGTAGATCTTTCTATTATAGGAAATAAAAAGTGTTACTTGTACGACAGTCATCCACCAATCTTTGTCCTTTCACTGCAAAAAATATCCTTTAGAGCCTAGGAAGTAGTTCAAGTTTTTCCCATCTCATGCATTGAAGGCAACCAAACTTTTCAGTTCCTTTTGAATCTCCCAACTCCACATGCATGGAAATAGGGTCCTCTGTCATCAGTTTCTATAGTCTAGAAGTTGCTTCTATTGAATATATCAGATGAGATAACCACATAAAAAAGATTTTTACTAGCATTAATTCATTGTATTTATAAATGCAAGAAAGTATGTTTTTTCTATCACCTAAGATCTGAAGTCGTTGAGGCTGGCAAAAGGCCACCCTAGAATACTCATCGAACTTGAGATTAATACCATATCTATGGATTAAATACTCCCCTCCAAAGCTGCAAGATTTTTACAGTTTCAAACCAAAGCTCAGCCTGTATTAAAATTTTGCATCAAGAAGTTTTGAAATTTCCTGCCTTACTCTGAATTTGATGAACTTTGGACTCTACGTATTGAAGCTTTCTCACAAAGCAAAGAAAAAATAACAATTGTATACAACTAGGAATGAAAGTTCCATAGGGCAGTCAAGTAACACCCGGAAATCACATACATTAACTATGTGGCAAGGTGGGAAGTAGAAGACCGTGCCTTCACTTAATGTGCCTGCAAATGTTGGAATCAGCGAACATCATGTTAGTATGTACTCAAATAATATTCAGGAAAGGCAAATATTCATTCAGAAAAGGGAAGAGACTTACAAACTTCATGGAATCGAAGAGTGCAAAAAAGTTTCTTAGCAAGCAGGTGTTCCAAAGGATATTAGCCTACAGAAGAAAAAAGGGCATATCCTCATGTTCATAGAAATAATTGAACAACATGACAGACTTAACTAGGATATTGAAATTCGGATGAAAAGGGTGCCACGTGTTCCTCATTTTTAACGTACATTATTTCTCTTTGGTTTTATCACCTAGAACATTTACATCTAAGAACAACTAGCATTTTAAAACATAAGCGGAAGTAGCAGAGTAGTTCTGGTCTATATTGCTCAGACTCTTCAAAAATTTCAATGGGTGCATGTCGGATTCGCCAAAAGTAGTGTATTTTTTAAGAATCTGAGACGGGTGTGGCATCAAAAGTGAAGAGTCCGCACAACTAAGGTTCTGGTAAGTTCACTAATTGAGAAATCACAAGAAGTGTGACAAAAATAGATCTTTCTATCAAATAATATAAGAAGTGTTACATGTATGACAACCATCCACCAAGCTCTGCCAAAAACAATATCTAGTACCTTAGGAAGTAGTTAGTGTTTTTCCCATCTGATCCATAGAGGGATACCAGACACTTCAGGTCCAAAGGATTTTCTCAATTTCATATGCATTTAAGGGCATGCACAATTAGTTTCCCAAGACTGGAAGTGACTGGAAGTTAATGCCATTGCATATATATATAATGAGTACACCAAAGCATCTAGATCCGTGAATCATGCAAAGGTTGCTATCCTGAATAACCACCACTGTTCTGAAAAAATAACACAACCTAGACCAAGAAAATACAAACTCAATCAACAAAAAGAGAAGATAAAAGTATAGGAGATATGTGATCCTAAAAGTTTGGAATAATGCTTACCCTATATGCAAGTTGACTTGCACGAAGACCTTCCGAAATTTAGTAGTCAGGAAGGACTCAAGTAGATCAAACGATGCACTGCACTTGGAGATAGGGAAGATGAAGATTGATCAAGGATTGTTCCAGAGTTTAAGATAGACTATAGCATGCACGTGTGAAGATGGGCATGTTAAGAAGCAGAAATTCAATAACCTAAACATTAAGGCAAAGAAGTGGAGTATTGGTAAAACTAAAGAAAAAAAGAACTTTTCAAACTACAATATACCAACCTTGTCGTCAATATTTCTGAAGTTCTCAAAGTTCTCTGCAAGATCTTTTTTTTATAATCGAGAAATCTTTTAGATAATCGAGAAATCTGTCTAGGACTCTCCCTTTGGATCAATTATAGCCTTCTCAACTCGATGGATAATGGGCCCACCCCTCTACCCTTTATCCACTTAAAAACCACGCTTCTCTTTGCATGGTATAGGGCTTGAACATGTGACCAAAGCCACAAATCCAACAAAATTTTCCACTAGAGCTAAGCCTTGGGGTAAGTTCTTACAAGCTTTAGATGGAAATTTTCTTTGACAATCAAAGAACATCGTCCAACCTTCTGAATTTTACAAGCAGTCAATATCAACATCACCATCCAGCAACAACAAAAATTGCACATTTAACAAAATTGCATAAATAAAACACACAATCCCTTCAATTTGTTAAGGTCACATACAACAACTTCTTTTATTGGAAATTTAAGTTTGAGAGGCTGATCTAGGACAGGCTGGAGAAGACTAAAACCGACATTAACAGGCTAAAACAAAGAGATAAGTATGCTAGAAGATTGTGCTTAGAGACATACATTCTTTTTCTCTCTTTATTTTCAAGGAAATGGGGATAAGATGTATGGTATGATAAGGAAAAACAGAAGTCAATCACAGCATGGCTGCAAACACTGGTTGCATGCAGGAGACAGAGGCAGCAATAACAAGCCTTACCGGGTCGCAACACCAAGATAAGTGTTGGATTATCTCATTGCCCAAATTGATTAGCCCAGAAATAGAAAAATCATCATCACTTTTTCTTTGTGTAAATTCATCAACAGTCAACAACGTAAAACAAACACACAGAAGAAACATAAAGTTAAATCCATTTTTGTTTTGTAGTTCTTGCTTTTTCATAAAGAAGGAATGTTGGCTTTTTTTAATGGAGGAGAACACGAATTGATATTACACAAGAAGTGTGACAAAATATAGATCTTTCTGTTGAATGAAATAAGAAGTGTTACCCATATGATAGCCATCCACCAAGCTCTGTCCTTTCACTGCCTAGTTCAATGTTTGTCCCATCTAATCCATTGAGGGATACTAGACACTTCAGGTCCAAAGGATTTTCTCAATTCCATATTCATATAAGGGCATCCATGATCAGTTTCCCAAGACTAGACGCAGCTGCCGTTGCATAAAATCTGATGAGTACACCAAAGCTTCTGGATCCTTAGATGATGCAAGAGTTTCTTTCCTAAACAGCCACCAGTCACCACTGTTCTGAAAAACAACACAACCTAGACCAAGAAAAAGAAATAACTCAATTAACTAAAAGAGGACATAGAAGGCACTAACAAGAGATAAGTGAACCTAGAAAATTTTAGTAACGCTTTCTATTAGACAAATAACCTTGGTCGAAATAGAGACGTGACAGAACTATCTCTTTACGCCTCTTCTCATTAAGGAATAGCGACTTGGATGCGAACATTTCACAGCAAGACTATCTAATCTCTTTATGTTTAGGTGGGAATAGTTCGGTCAAAATCAGACCGATTTCACTAAAAAGAGCTTGTCAGAAAGGCTATCCCGTGAAATACCTCCGATTCCGATCAGTTTCACAAGACTAGACGCAGCTGCCGTTGTATAAAATCTGATGAGTACACCAAAGCTTCTGGATCCTTAGATGATGCAAGAGTTTCATTCCTAAACAGCCACCAGTCACCACTGTTCTGAAAAAATAACACAACCTAGACCAAGAAAAACAAATAACTCAATTAACTAAAAGAGAACATAGAAGGCACTAACAAGATATAAGTGAACCTAGAAAATTTTAGTAATGCTTACCCTACATGCAAGTTGACTTGCACGAAGACCTTCCGGAAAGTTAGTAGTCAGGAAGCACTCAAGTAGATCAACAATGCATTGCTCTTGGAGATAAGGAAGATGAAAATTGTTCCTGGACAGTTCTAGAGTTTAAGATAGACTGTACCCTGCAATTTTGCAGATGCATGCTAAGAAACAGAAATCCAATAACCTAAATAGTAAGCAAAAGAAGTGGAGTATTGGTAAAACTACAGAAAAAAATTTTCAAACCAAAGTATACCCACCTTGTCATCAATAATTCTGAAATTCTCCACAATATTTTTTTTATAACAGAAAAATATGCATATGACCTGCCTGTTGTACCTATCAGAGCCTTCTAAACTCCGTGGATAATGTCCCCGCCCCTCTACCCTTCTCCACTTATATACCGGGCTTCGCTTTGCATGGTGTGGGGCTTGAAGATGTGACGTAAGCCACAAATCCACCACCTTTTTCCACTAGAGCTCAGCTTATCATAGGGGCAGTTTTTGCAAACTTTCGATAGAAATTTTCCTTGACAATTACCATCATCCAATCTTTTCAAGTTTACATTATGTGAATATTCATCATAACCATCCTGCAACAACAACAATTTCACATTTAACAAAAATACATCTATAAAATACAATCACCTTCAAATTTTTAAGGGAACATACAATTAATTCTTTTATTGCATATTTAAATTTAAGAGGCTGATCTAGGAGAGGCTGGAGCAAACTAAAATTGACATTAAAAGGCTAAACAAAAGCACAACGAATAGATCCATGTGTTCTTCATTCTTTAGATGGTTAGGAGAAAGGAAACTAACACATACACACACAAACATAGACATACATATCCTCAAGTTCATAGAAATAATTGAAGACTATGACAGACTTAAACTAGGATATCGAATTTAGGATGAAAAGTGTGCCAAGTGTTCGTCATTTTCTATGGTACGTTTTTTCCTGTGGTTGTATCACCTAGAACATTTGCATATAAGCACAACTAGCATTTTAAAAGATAAGTGGAAGTAGCAGAGTAGTTATTATAAGTTGGAACACACTAATTGATTAATCTCAAGAAGTGTGACAAAAATAGATATTTCTCTTAAATGAAATAAGAAGTGTTACCCGTATGATAGCCATCCACCAAGCGCTGTGCTTTTACTGCTTAGTTCATGTTTATCCCATATGATCTATTGAGGATACCAGACACTTCAGATTTAAAGAATTTTCTCAATTCTATATGCATATAAGGGCATCCATGATCAGTTTCCCAAGATTGGAAGCTGCTGTCATTGCATTATCTGATGAGTACACAAAAGTTTCTACTTCGGTCGATGATGCAAGGGTAGCTTATTTGAACAGCCAACTGCCACCTCTGTTCTGAAAAAAATTACACAACCTAGACCAAGAAAAACACAAAGTCAATTAACTAAAAGAGAACATAGAAGGCAATAACAGGAGATAAGTGATCCTAGAAGTTTGGAATAATGCATACCCTACATTCAAGTTGACTTGAAAGAAGACCTTCCAAAAATTTAATAGTCACGAAGAACACCAATAGATCAAACGATGCACTTCTCTTGGAGATAAGGAAGAAGAAGATTGTTCCAGGATTGTTCTGAATGTAGCCTGCAAGTTTGCAGATGCATGTTAAGAAACAGAAATCCAATAACTTAAATAGTAAGACATTGAAGTTGAGTATTGGTAAAACTACAGAAAAAAAATTAAATGACAGTATATCCACCTTGTCATCAATACTTTTGAAGTTCTCAAAAGAAGATATCTTTTTTTTTATAACAAAGAAATATGTCTATGACCTTTCCCTTGGACCAATCACATCTTTCTAAACTCGGTGGATTATGTTTCCGCCCCCTCTACACTTGTCCAATTAAATATCGGGCATCGCTTTGCATGGTGTGGGGCTTGAATATGTGACCTAAGTCACAAATCTACCACCTTTTCCCACTAGACCTAAGCTTACCATGGGGCAGTTTTTTTAATTTTTCGATGGAAATTTTCCTTGAAAATTGAGGATCATCATCCAACTTTTTCAAGTTTACAAGGAGTGAATAATCATCATCACCATGCTGCAACAAAAAAAATTGCACATTTAACAAAAATGCATCTATAAAACACACGGTCACCTAAAATTTGTTAAGGAGAAATTCAACTTCTTTTATTGCATATTTAGGTTCAAGTATGCTGGAAGATTGTGGGTGGAGAGATACAAATTCTTTCTCTCTCTTTATGTTTAAGAAAATGGGGATAAGATGTATGCTATGATAAGTGAAAACAGAAGTCAATCACGGCATGGATGCAAACACCGGTTGCATGCAACATACAAAAGCAGGAATAACAAGCCATTCCAGGTCATAACACCAAGATACGTATTGGATAATCTCACTGCCCAAATTGATTAGATAGAAAAAGAAAAATCATCATCACAATTTCTTTGTCAACATTTCATCAATAGTAAACAAACTAAAACAAACACACAAAAGAAACAAACAGACTCACAGTATACATGCTAAATCCAATTTTTTTTTACAGTGTTTGCTTTTTCATAGACAGGGGCTGTCGGTTTTTCGTAATGGACGAAAATCAGTGGCATAATAGATAGGGGCAACCACCCTTTATAGAAAATCCCACTCACTGTTCTGCCTCATTTAAGGGTAACGTGTTCTCATTTGGGGTAAATTCCTTGGCTTGAAAGCAAAATCATTGGCTTATCTTAGAAGACACTAGAAATCCCCCAAAATAAGCAGGAACTCTACTAAAATGAATTTTTTTTCATGTTATCCCTACATAAAAAATTGACAAGAAATTGTAAATATTTCAATGTATTGAAATCTAATACACATATATCTATGTTAGTTTCCCCTCTTCTAACAATCTAAATAATGAAGAACACGTGGATCTGATCTGCCTAAACTTAATATAATACAAAGTTGAAAACCAAAACAGATAAAGTTTCGATAAAAAAAGTCCCCACTCTTCTACTGCTTGTCGATCAAGAAGTAACTCCAAGAAACATACAACATAGATGAGAAATGTTTGTTCAAACTTTACTGCAAAAAACACTAGATTTTTTTACAGAGGAAAAGATGAATGAAATTAAAATGGAGGTTTGATTTTCTTTGGTTTTCTCTTAGTTTCTTACGGACAAAGAAAGAAAAGAATAGGAGTGAGTGTATGGTGGTCGTGAAACCAGAGGAGTAAAGTGTAAAATAGGAAAACTCACTCTTAGCTGTGAAAAAGACAACGAAGTGCACCTCAAACTTAAGCCTAATGAGAAGCACAAAATTAGAGCTAAATGCAAAAGAAAAATACTATGCAAATGGGAGATATATGCAAGCACTTACAGAAATTCTGGTGACTTTATTGTGAAGAAGTATCACCCATTTCATCGCTTCCCTATTAAAAACAAGAACAAGTATGCACTTTTTTGTACATTGGACATAAATTTCAAGAAAAGATTGTATCTCAACCTAACATAAAACTTTGGGAGATATGGGAATTGGTAAGGAATCAGTAGGGTTTGTATCTAGGGAGGAATGTTTGCTAGGGAACCAAGTGCAGGGTAATGAGTCAGTTCAAGGGTGATTGCAATCTGAAATTCTCTAGATTATGTGACTAGGATGACATTTATAAGAAGACAAATCCTAGACGTTCTTGTTGGGTTATAATAGACACATTTACCGTCTATGTTCCATGGTACATCAACATCTATTATCGAACTCCAACCATAATAAAACGTCTTAATGTTGTTAGAAAAACATTAAATATGATAACATGATAATATACAAAAATGGCACCTCTTCCACTAGATAATACTAATCACTAATTTGGATGTATCTGACAAACTAACCTGACTTAAGACAAGAATGAAATTTCAAGAAAAATTGAAGCACAAACACACCACTAAAATAGTACAGATCTATCTAGTAGGTTGCAGAATCATCACCAACTTATTGTTTCACCAGAACCTTCTTGGAATCCATTATCTGGAGTAAATTATGAAGTTTGAAGATAGAATATAACATTTAGTAAGTCTCAGAGAGTATCAACAACAAGAACTTAAGAATCTCCCCTTTTGTGATTTGGTGAGATATTTCTTTTTATTATCACTAGCAGGAAAAATCTTCTCCAAAATTGCCTTCCCAGTTGACGCAAAAAGTAGCCGAATTAGTTTTTTTGAATCTTCATCACTAAATTCAGGCAATAGCTCTTTTTCCAAGAGCATAGTTAATATACGTTTCAGTCCTGTAAATACATAAATTTCAAGTGAATATTTTCTTTAAACACGGAACAAACTCATTGATAAGAAGGAGAGATTTCTTATGTTTTCCTATGATAAAATAGGAATATAGCTGTCAAATAAATAAAAATAGAAAATGCCTATAAGGGAAAGTAGTAGAAAATAATAGTCTTACCAATCTACAGATAATTTTATTATAACATTAATACTAAAAACCATCGGGAAATACGGGACAAATTCAGATTTTATATAATAACTTATAACATCTTTTGAACAAAGTTGAGCCACTAAAAGACTAGGATCACTGAAAGTTGTAGCGAGATACTACTCTAACAAAAATTGCATACTATTTTCATGTTGCAATGTAATGTCCACTCTATTGAGCAAACAACTCATTTGCAAGATCATATCCACATGTTCATAGAAATAATTGAAGACTATCACATACATAATCTAGGATATAAAATTTCTAATGAAAAGGGTTTCATGTGTCCTCATTTTGTAAGGTACGTTATTTTTTTGTGGTTGTATCACCTAGAACATTTACATCTAAGCACAACTAGCTTATCAAACATAAGTTGAAGTAAAGTAGTTTTTGTAAGATGGAACAAACTAATTGATGAATTACAAGGAGTGTGACGAAAATATATCTTTCTATTAAATGAAAATATAGCCATCCACCAAGCATTTTCATTTCACTGCCTAAAATAATATCTAGTGCCTTAGGAAGTAGTTAGTGTTTTTCCCATCTGACCTATTGAGTGATACCAGACACTTCAGGTCGAATGGATTTTCTCAATTCTATATGCGTATAAGGGCATCCATGATCAGCTACCCAAGACTAGAAGTTGTTGTCGTTGCATATATCTGAAGAGTACACCAAAGCTTCTAGCTCCATAATAATGCAAGGGTTGCTTTTTTGAAAAACCACCACTATGCTAAAAAATAACACAACCTAGACAAAGAAAACCACAAACTCAATTAACTAAGCAAATATTGAAGGCGCTAATAGGAGATAATTGATCCTAGAAGTTTTGAATAATGCTTACCCTACATGCAAGTTGACTTGCACGAATACCTTCTGGAGATTTAGTAGACAAGAAGGACTCAAGTAGATCAAACGATGCACTGCTCTTGGAGATAAGAAAGATGAAGATTGTTCGAAGACTGGTCCAGAGTTTAAAATTGACTGTAGCCTGTAAGTTTGTAGATGCATGTTAACAAGAAAAAAGTCAATAACCTAAACAGTAAGCCAAAGAAGTGGAGTATTGGTAAAACTAAAGAAAAAAAGAATTTTTCAAACTACAGTATACCCACCTTGTCATCAATACATCTAAAGTTCTCGAAAGTCTCTGCAAGATCTTTTATTTTTAAAACCAAGAAATCATTTAGATAACCGAGAAATCCGTCTATGACCCTCCCTTTGTACAAATCATAGCCTTGAAAACTCGATGGATAATGGAACCGCCCCCTCTATGTCATGCCTCAAAACCCATTAAGATAGATAAGAACTCGATGCGTAAAGTCCCGAGAGAACCAGCCTACAACCTGTTCTTACTGTGCATATAACTATAACAATTGTGATAAGTTCACCTAGGATGCAACTATACAAAACAACATAAGTAGGTGCAAAAGTTGTATACAAGACTTTGCTGTTGAGGCCACAACTACTTAAGACACAACTGAACCATATACATATATCTACAAAGACTCTAAAAGATAGAAGACTAGATTAGGTCGGACAGACCCCGCTTTACCCTAAACTATGATACAATACGAAAATAAATTTAACAAAGACTCAATAAAGCTTCGAATCAAGTTGGAGCTCACCCAATATTAGCAGAGTTTCGTGTGCTCCTACTGAGGAGGTCTAGTAGCTGAAGTACATGTGCCTGCAGCATGAAATGCAGCGTCCCCCGTGAGGTACATCAGTATGAAAAAAATGTACTTAATATGTAAGGCAATAGAATATGTAATAAGAAAGCTCAAATGAAATCAAATAGCAACATATGAGTGCATAAATTAGGAGAGAAGACCACCTTTGCTTACTATTGTGGGATCAAGCAAGTTCAATTCTTTTCTCTACTTTTCTGTATGTTATAATGTTTGTAAGGCATGTGATACAAGTGACCAGCTGATTCAGTGGTACAAGAGGATGACCCATGCTAGGCGTATTAACACCTCGGATGTGGTCCTCATAATTACACAACTTGGGATCGACCCATGCTAGGCTTTCGCGCCTAAGCTGCCACCTTTCTATACAAATAGGGATTTCTCCCCTGAGCTGCAACCCTTATGTACCAGTTGGGATCGACCCATGCTAGGATTTCGCCTTGGGCTTCCACCCGTAATTATATATATTTCTTCACTTAGATTCTTTAATCCTTGAGATTGCTGTTTATCAGTTCATAACTCTTCTGAGATGTTATTTTGTTAGTCATAATCATTTTGGAGACATAAAGTACGGACCAGTAATAGAAGACATGAAAATGATACTTCAAGGAAATAACAATGACATAAGGAGCTATGTAACATCAACACATTACTTTAAGAGATTAATGACACAATTGACTTCAAATAACAAAAAGAAGGATTCGCATCTCGCTTTTGCAATTACCATTTCTACACCAGCACATGGGGTATAACAGCACATGTATAAAATAATGAAGAGATGATGAAATAGTTCTATGCACTACAGAGAGGGAAAAATATTGTTAGCTATTTGGAGATAGTACGCTGCCACTATGTTTCGTTTTCTAGGAATAAAACTTATGAGATTCACTTCATTGATAGTAATTGCAGGTGTTAGATTTCATCCCAAAGGAATATAGAATTCAATGGCCTTACATACCTTATCCTCGGACTAATATACTATTACGATTCAACCTCCCCTTTTTGGTTTTAATGTCAATTTCTGCAACTTCTCCTTATAACTTCAATTCTTTTAGAACTTCATCTTACCTTCACACTTGGTTTGCAAATTTAAGGGTTTCTTCAAGAAGCCTAGAAAACTTTAAGGCTGCTGGTTTCATCCTTGAGAGAAGAGAGAGAGAGTTGGAGATAAATTTTATTTTTATGTGTTAAAATGGGTGAAGAATATCTGCTCATATTGGATATGTATAGAGCTTTATTGAACAAAAAAATATCCTCTAGAACCTCTTTTTTTTGGGTGGTTCATTTTCAGCCATTAATTGGGCAAGTAGGTGATGCACCTGTTTGTGCACATCAAACAGCTCAAAATGTCAAACTTGGTGATGCACCTAGTTTCTTTCTCTTGGGCTTTTCCACATTGGGCCTTGGCAGATTTCACTGCTGAGATTTCTTTCAAATTTTACTTTCATTTGATAGGTTTGACTTCAAGTGAAATCCGTTTAATATAAGCCTAAATCTTGTCCATCAAACTTTTCGCTTTAACTATATTATAGCTTAAGTAGGTGATGCAGCTGCTAGCTTAATTTAAGCCAAGCAAGCAGCTCAATTATTTTATTTCAATGTCTGAATGTTAATCTCTTGTTCTTCAACTTAGCAATTAACTTTTAATTTTAATCTCAATTACACCTTACTATATCTACTTAAATACTTTCAGTCAGAGTTAACTTGCAATACACATGTTGAAACGTGCATGGCGTTACATCACCTTCTGGGCTAGTTCAAACCAACACTAACCATATAAGAAACATGATCCCTCCCCTACACTATAAGTCTATTTCAAGTATCACATGAATAGAACTAGCATATATATAACATAGGCCGTCACACTCTACCCTTCGTCCACTTAAATACCAGGCTTCGCTTTGCATGGTGTGGGGCCTGAACATGTGACCTAAGCCAAAAATCCCCCACCTTTTTCCACTAGAGCTAAGACTTGGGGTCAGTTTATGCAAGCTTTCGATAGAAATTTTCTTTGGCAATAGAAGATCATCATCAAACCTTTTCAAGCTTACAAGGAGAGAATATTTAGCGTCACCAGTAACAACAAAAATTTCACATTTAACAAAATTGTATCAAAGAAACACACAGTCCCCTTCTATTTTTGGTTGGAGAGATACACATGCTTTCTCTCTCTTTCTTTTTAAGAAAATGGGGATAAAATTAAGATGTATGTATGTAATGATAAGGAAAAACAGAAGTCAATCACGACATGGCTGCAAACACCGGTTGCATGCAAGAGATAAAAGCAGCAATAGCAAGCCATACCTGTTCTTTACACCAAGATACGTATTGGATAATCTCAATTGAACTTAAGAATTTGAAACCCCCCACCCCCTCAACTTAAAAATAAACAGAGATATTAATTAAATTTTTGTTGGGATTACATTACACTAATATTTGGTTAATTCAAGTCAGCATAATCTATGAGAGGTAAATTTCAAGCGGCATACATTTCGTCATCTAATTAACAAACAAAAAGTGAAGTGCAATTACACAAACCATACACTTCAAGATACTTATAAATGAATTTTCAGAATATATGTCATCCTTCTAGAACTACTAGACAGAAAATCAATTCTGCATTTTTATTTACTAAAGCAAAATAGAGGCTTGAGGTATTCTTCAAAACACATCGTCCCAAAAAAATGGAGGAAAGGTTCAACCAGAATCTGAAAATACACACCCCATATACAGGGCTCTAATGGCAATCTAACAAACAAATATAGATTAGGACTACATGCCTCCAAGTTCTAATTCTAGTTTCGTTAATAATTAAAAAAAAGCTAAATAATGTATCGTACCTGCACATTACTCTCTTGAACTAGAATATCCTTCGTTTTCTCACACAGTCCTTTTACCGACACAACAAGAACCTTCATAAGCCAATTCATTTATCACTAATACAATAAGGGGAATAAAAAATGTGCACCATAATAAAAGAGACACATGAAGCAAGTCATTAAATAAAAGACTAATATAAGCAAAGATGAATAGGCTCAAAATAAAATTATTTTAGTAGAAGAACCAAAGTATTGATAAACAGTTTCATTGTTATAAGCTTATGCCCAGCTCTTTCCCTGTATACAAGCTTTAGAAATAATATATGCCACAATCTTGCATACTCAAAAACGACAGCGT